TGACCAGCTGGCCAACTTGAGAATAGGGCTAATTTGTCTTTGTGGTCTTATACCTGCCCCCTGCCACAAACATGGGCTTGTGCTGCCTTCACACAGAGTGGGCCTCCATATGTGGCAAGGAACATTCTGGAGTCTGCAAACCCTCTCCATTCTCACCCCTGGCCCCATCTCTAATCCTTGCAACTATCCAGTACCCATCCACTGCCCATGTCCTTTCTCTAACCATGAGTGATGCTCAAGTCTGATTTTCTGATACGGTGAAAGTCAAGGAACCGAACTGCCATTGTCCTTCAGTCCTTCTGGCCACACTTTCTTTTGTGGAAGGGATGCGTGTGTGGGAGAGGGGGTTATAGGCACCTTGGACCTAAAATCTGGGCTGGCCCCAAGGTAGAGAGTGGAGTTCAGGATAAGCCTTACCCCCTTCCCAAACTTCCCCCAAACCTGCAAAACATCTTCCACCAAGTTTTCAGGATACCCGAAATTCCCAGCAGGAAGTGTATCATTCCTTCTGATTGGAAAGCTGATCTCTGAAAAGTCCTTGTTCTGACACAATGGGTCATAAAATAGGAAAAAAAACCTTGGACTTGAAGATAGCGAACTTAGGTGCCAGGCCAGGGGAGAGATGAGCCATGGAACACTCAAGATATACTTGGCCTCCTGGACAATTTTGCCTAAGGCCTAAAAGAACCAATTTCCCCACCATCCAGAGCCATACAAGATTTGTTCCACACTTTATCTCCAATCCTCCTCCTGTATTCCTTCCTGCACCCTAAATCCTAACCCAGATCCCCAATAAGCAGAGAATTTTTAGGAGTCTTATATAATGACCTTGGGTAGAAATTAGGGGAACACAGCCAGAGGTGCGTCCGTGCAAATCTTTTATTTGTGCATATGATACAATGATGCTTTCTGTCTTTATGAGATGATTACAATAGTAATTCCTATTTGGAGCTGAATCATTGGCAAAGCAAGTACTTTTACACATATGACCTCATGTGCACCTCCATTGTGTGGGTAGTCTGCCTTTGTGTTGTTGGCATTTATACAGTTTTACAGAGAAGGACGCTGAGGGTCTGAGACGCCCAAGGTCACAGTGAATCAGTAAAGGAGCTTAGATTTGGGGTTTGGGTCCAGGGCTCAGATCCTGAGAGCCTTCTCAGATAGTCTGCTTTGTGGTCTCTTCTGCTGGGCTTTCCCAGACTCGTGGGCCTCCTTGTCCTGTCCCAGGTAGGTTCCACAAATGAAAGCTGTCAGGAGGTCAGCAAACCAGGCAATGTCTGGGCTGATGGACTCTAGGAAAAAGTTCATGGGAAGCTATTGGTGGTACCTGGGGTTGACCAGAAGATGTAATATAAGCAAGTATGGAAAGAAAAAAAAAAAAAAAACAGAAGTAAGAAAAAGCCCAAAAGATGGTCTCCAATCCACTTATTCAACCAACCACAAACCCTCTGGGGCACCAAGGGAGGTTCTAGAGCTGCAGCAGGAGGCTTGTGCCCTTGAGGAACTTCCACTCAGGCTAGGGTCATCTGAGGTCTGGGGCTGCCCTGGGCTTAAAGTTCCCATTCAAAGACCAGCAAGGTTCCTCCTCCCTTCCTGATTTTGTCCGAGAGAGCAGGGAGGTAGAAATGCCATGAAGACATCTTTTCTAGGTACCACTGTGGATGTTTTATGTGCCAGGAGTGGCAGGAGATCTGCAGCCCAGTATCCAGGGCACTTTGATTGACTACAGGGGGAGAGACAGGCCCACAAGAGTCTAGCTGAGGTCGAACCGTGGTTCTGTGGGTGGAGAGAGGGGAAAGCGGGAGGTTGTGGCCAACGAGGGTGTGGTCAAGGTATGTAGAGAGTGGCCACCCATGTATAGCTCTCTGGCTGTACTTTTCGGCAGTCTTGCTCACGGTTCCCTCTCTGATAGGATGCCCCTCTGTCTTCCCATTCACATCGGTGCTTCTCTGCGCCTCTGCTCTTGGATTCCCAAGGAACTACATTAAGAGAAGAGGCTCCACTTTCTACTCTTGGGGATGACAAAAAATCACTAGAAATGTAAGGAGATAGACACAGTTGTATTTAGTGACAGGCTCTCAGGGGTGTGGCTGAATGTGTTGAAGGAAATACTTAGCAGAGCAGCTTTTGCTGGGAAGGAATGGGATGGGGTGAGGAGATGAAGAAGCGAACCTCTCAAAAGGCATGCTCTGTAGTAAGGCAAGACCCTGAGACCTGCCTTCTAGGAAGAGTGGGGTTGAGAACATGCAGCTTTGGTTTTGGAGCTGGAGTCCTCTGCCTTTCCCCTCCCTGGACTCAGCCTGCCCTCTGAATAAAAGTTGAACAAAATTTTAAGAATATTAGGTTTGAAAGGGGCACTGAATGATTATCCTAACCAGAAGTCCATTTGCTTAGCTCTGAGCCCACAACTACTCATTGTCTCCTTCCTTTTGCTGTTTCTTCTATCTGTGCTGAGTGATGTCCCCACCTATTAGTTGGCAAGACCATGAGAGCTTTGTCCTTCACTGGCGCACCACCCAGTCCTCTCCAGCAGGTGTTACTGGCCTAATTTTTAAAACTACACCTTCAGTCTTCCCCAGCCAGATAAAATGCCTCTAAGGCTGGCCACCCAATTGCAAATGCATCATTGAAACCGTAGCTGGAGCTGAAGGGGTGAATGCTTTATGTGCTCTCTATGTGCCAGCCAAAGACTGTAACAGTAGCTACTTTATTCAAAAGGCATAGACTGAGTGACTGCTATGTGCAAAGTCCTGCCCAAGGGACTGTGGAAAGACTCCGGAATTCTCATTTTCAAGGACTTACAGCCAACCATACCCAACTGGGGTGCAGGTCAGAATCACCTAGGGAGCTTTTCCAAAGGCCCCACTCCAGAGCTAAATCAGGTTGGAACCGGATCTGTGTGGTATGGGAAAATTTTTTTTAAAAGATTTTATTTATTTATTTGTCAGAAAGAGAGAGAGAGAAAGCACACAAACAGGTAGAGAGGCAGGCAGAGGAGGAGAGAGAGGCAGGCTCCCTGCTGAGCAAGGAGCCCAATGCGGGACTCGATCCCAGGACCCTGGGATCATGACCTGAGCCGAAGGCAGCAGCTTAACCCACTGAGCCACCCAGGCATCCCGGTATGGGAAAATTTTGAAGATGGGTTTTATCTGTGTCCTGAGATGTGATGCTATGGGACAGTGTGAGAGGCAGGCATGTGTACCACTAACTAAAAAGCAAGGTCAAGTATAGACGTTGCCAAAGAGAGGGATAAACATGGTGCTCTGAGAGCATAGATTAGGGAATAAGGGTTACTGTCACCCCAGCAGCCTGGGGTAAGAAAGCATGACTGTGTTCCCTAGGCATTGGTCCCCCAAAGGCATACATTAGAAAAATAATGACAGCTGCCATTCTTTGCTCCCACTCAATACATCGTGCTAGAACACCAGGGCCCTTGGCAGGGTGCAAGACCTCAAGCACTCTGCATTCCAATGGGACAGGAAGATAAGACATGCACAAGTGTAACTATGACACATGGTGGAGAGTGACAAATACTATTTCAGAGGGGACAAGCAGAGTGCCACAGCACACCAGAGAGTGCTCTTCTGATTTTCAGATAGGGAAGGTCTTCCTGAGGAGTTGGCCTTTCAGCTGGGGCTTGTAGGTAGTGGAGTAGAAGGACAGGCATTCCAGACCCTGGTGACCACATGGTGGGGGCCCAGAGGAGACTGGGGGAAGGGTGTGGTTTTTTTGTGGTTGGATCCTGAGCTGCATGGGGCGGATGGCAGAAGGTGGAATAACAATGGAAAAGTTCATTGGCACCAGATTGCAGGGGCCCTGAAAGACTTGCTCAGGTGTTTGGGCTTTATTTGCATAGTGTGAGGATCCACGAAGGGTTCTGAGGCACCCTAGTGTCCATTCAGAGGACACTTTGTGGGGAAAGAGGTGAGGAGTGGGAAGATGCTGAGGAAGTGAGGTCATTTGGGGATGGAACCACGGGCATTCAATGAACATGGACAGAAACAGCTCTGGGGGACATGGGGAAGGCAGAGGCAACAGGACTTGGCTGTGGGAGTGGAGGGAAGGGAAATGTAGGACTCAGAATTGATGCGGGTTTGGAGTATCGGTGGCTGGGGGAAGCTGGTGCCATCAGCCAAGCAGATGGAGAACATTTGAGGTGGAAACTGATGAATCTGAAGTATCAGCTCGATATCCATCCAGAGAGGATCAGATGTAGGAATCTGCACCCTGGTTGCCTTGGCCGAGGAGGATGTTTAGTTTTCTGGACCTTCAGAGCTGGACTATTGGTACCTACAGGGTCATGATGGTATCTCCTTATCTTTATGTCCTGCAAACAAATGCTTCATGCAGAAGGTGGCACTTATTGCATTCATTCTTTCCACAAAAGGTTATTTATGGACTGAATATCCAGGTGCTAGTTCATGTGGCAGACACTAGAGCTATGACATGGAATGTATCTCCTGTCTAGTTGGGTCTTCAGGATCCAGATTGCATTTTGACTTGCTTATTTGAGGATGTGCTTATCTTGGCCCAGTGAAACAGTCTCACCCAGCAGTCACTGAGGAGTGCAGAGCCAACCCCTCCAAAGTCAGCTGGCACAACCCTCCAGGTGAGCGGGGGACAGACCATCTACCATCAGTCTGTATCTATACAATTAGCACACACATGGAGCCTCAGACCCTCAGAAAGCCTTGGAGAGAATCCTTTCTGGGAATCCTTCCAAGTTTCAGAGCCTTCTGGACTAAGCAATGTCTGAAGGAATGAATTAATGAAGGAATGAATGATGAACTCAGAATCCAAGAAATGTTTTTCTGGATGGAAATATACAGTTTCCAGGTGGGAGCCACTATCTGCAGAAGAGGAGACATGAAGGACCTACTTGTGGAAGGTGGCCATGGCATTCCCCAGCATGCCCTCCTTGATGCCCTTTCCTGCCCTGCTTCTCCCTGCTCCCACTCCAGCAGCTCTGTCCACCTCCATTGGCACCACCGAACTCCTTTTCAATAGAAGGAGGCACCCTCGTAATTGAAGGAGCCTGCCGCGTGATGAGGAATGCTGGCTGCCTGCTGCCTGCAGATCCAGAGGTGCCGGAGCAGACTTTTGAGATGTCTGCGGAACTTGACCCCAACAAAAACGTAGAGCACTGGGTTGAAGCAGCAGTGGGAGAAGGCAAGGTTGCGGCAGATGAGTATGGCATAATCCACCTGCTGGCTGAACTCGCAGCTCTGGATGACCTCAAGTTTCAGCAGTGTCTGCAGAAACAGGACCAGGTTGTAGGGAACCCAGCTAAGGAAGTAGGCTGTCACGATGGTGAATATAAGCCTGACTGTCCGAGGGCGCCGTTTGGACCGAGAGCGGAACAGGGTCTTGAGAATCTCCACGTAGCAGAACAGGATAATCCCGATGGAGAGCAGGAAGAAGACATTATGCTGGTAGACTGAGGTTAGGAACCCCTTCCTTTCTGAGTAGACACAGTGTGAAGAAAGCACTGTGTGGAAGATAGCATCGGGGATGGAGGACAGGATGCTGGTTGCCCACACAGCCATGGTCACCAGCACACGGCACTGGAGGGTGTGGACACGCAGGGATGAGAGGGGCCTCACCACCGACAGGTAGCGGTGGATAGTCATGATGGTCAGGAAGAAGATGCTGCTGTAGAGGCTGATGGAGAAGATCATGCTGAAGAGCTTGCAGAGGAAGTCCCCCAGCAGCCAGCCCCAGTGGTACGCCATGATCCACACTGGCAACAAGCAGGAGAACGCCAGATCCGAGAGGCACAGGTTGAAGATGAAGACATTGGTGAGGGATTCCAGGCTCTCATACTTCACTAGGACCCACAACACCAGGCTGTTGCCCACCAGGCTGAGGAGGAACACCAGGAAGTACAGGATGGTGGTGCTGATGGTGGCAAAGGTAAAGGTCTTGCTCTCACACAGTAAGCTCTGAGGATCATATTCAAAAGGGGTGGTGGACTCTGGGGTGCCTGAGGGCTCCATCTAGACAAAGAAAGCATCTGAAATGACAGAGATGCAGAGTTTCAGACCACGTGGTTAGGCTAGGATCCATAGGACTCATTACAGAAAAAGTGTGTGGTCCATGGTCCAGCTACCTGTGGTCATTTAACTGTAAGGTGACTAGGAACTTTGCCAGAACACGAAGTCACTAAGCATTCTGTTTAGTTTGGCAGGATTTTTTTCTTAGCAAGGCTCTCCTGATGAAGGAAGTAGTGCATTCATTTGCATTCTGTCCTACACCCCATTTCTCCTTGGAGACTGGCATTTGAGTAGCACTAAGCTAGACCCTTCTTCCCATAGGTGTATGAGGAAGAGCAATGGAACTGGATTCAAAGAACTGAGGTCAAATTTGAGCCCCATTACTATATTTCTGGGAAAGCTATCTAACCTTTCTGAACCTCAGGTTGTCATCTATAAAACAGAGCTAATGACCCCCAAATTGTTCCTTCATTTATTTAGCAAATATCTAGTGAGCATTTACTCTGCCTCCTGGCCTCCTTCCCTTTGTCTCTCCCTTTGTCCCTCCCTTCTTTACTTCCTCTGCTCCCTCCTTTCCTTTCTTCCATAAAGTACAGAAATTTTGATATCAGGATTGTTCAGGAAACTTGCTGTCTCTTGAAACAGGTCTAAAAAGAAAGGAGGAAACATCTCTCATGTGAACTCAGGTGTGAAATAACCTCAAGACTACGATGAACACTGAGATTCTGGGAGACCCAATCGTCACCAACACAGATGTCCCCTGAAAGGGAAGTATATGCAGAGTGACCTCCAAAGGTCAAAGGAGCCATGAGGCCAAAGAAAAAAGTCAGTAAAGTCCAGCTTGCCAAGAAATGGCTTATTAAAGGGGCTTATGGACAGAGGTGTGTCTTGCGTTGCTGCAAGATGAGTGTATCTCTGCACTCCGAGACCACCTGTAACACCTGATTTTGTAGCCCTAGAGGCTGGGGAGTGCATAATGGGTGACGACTGGGAGGAAATGTTTGAGAATATTTGTCTGTCATTGTTGTATCTCCAGAATAGATCAAGGCCTTTATGTTCCAAGCATATACTTAAGGGTAATTTATTATGCAAGTGGTTAGACAAAAGGAAAGAATGGTGGTTGTGGTGGTATGTGGGGGGACTGTGCTCAAGAGGGCTCCAGGTCACAGAGCGGTCATCATGGCAGATTTGTCCAAGATGGCGTCAGGCTGGTTCACACACTTGCCAACACAGAAGATTAACTCTCTGAGCAGAAGGCTGCCTCACTAGGGAGTTTGGTTTTACAGAACATCCTATAGAGACAAACAAATGGCAATAACCTAAGTGCCCTGTTGGAGGGGAGTAGCTAAGAGAACTGTATGGAGTCACACTGATTCAATCCTCTGAGTTAGTGAGGTTTGGGAAACTATGAGACTTGAAGGCCAGGAAGAGGAGAGGGAGTGACTTAAGAGCCAGAACTCTGTTTGAAAGAGGTGAGTGAAGATGGCGGGCCTTTGGCAAGGAAGACAGGATATTGGATGAAGGAGCTGTCTGCATCAAGTAAGAGCCATCTAATGACCTACTATGTACCAGGCACTATACTAGCACAGGCTATTCACCTGCTCCTTCCATCCTGCGACTGTCTATAAGGCACAGCCACCCCACCTTATAGAAGAGGAAACCAAGGCTCAGACTGGTGAAGTGACCTTTTCAACAGTATAAAGCCAGTAAGCAGGAAGGAGAGCCCAGCCGGGAGCCAAACCTAAGCTCTCCTGTCTTGTACTTGGAGGAGGAGAAAGGAAAAAGTAGCCCGAGTTTCTCACTTACCTAGTTTGGGATGGGAGGAATAAAAGGGGGCGTCTCAGACATGTCCTATTTTAGGTAGTAAGTCAATTCATGTCTCCAAACACCAAAGTGAAGATGGTTGAAAATATTACATATGGTTGGTTTCTTTTGTATTCTTTTGATTCCCAACGAGGAATACATAAGCTTTTGTATGTTTACTGTCCACTTATGTTTCTTATTTTGAAAGTATTTATGAATTTTGTTCATTTTTCTGCTTGGACTGATAATGTTTTCCTTATTAATTTTTTAAAAAATTTTAAAATATTTTATTTATTTATTTGACAGACAGAGATTACAAGTAGGCAGAGGCAGGCAGAGAGAGAGAGGAGGAAGCAGGCTCCCCGCAGAGCAGAGAGCCTGATGTGGGGCTCGATCCCAACACCTGGGGTCATGACCTGAGCCGAAGGCAGAGGCTTTAACCCACTGAGCCACCCAGGCACCCCTTCCTTATGATTTTTTAAGAGCACTTTTTAGTATTGTCAACCTGTTGTGCTTCTTAGCTTTTAATTCTGTCCATGTCTTTTCATATTTTTTTTTGACATTTAGAAAGTGGGAGTCTACATTTTAAAGAGGAGCTCATCTGATTCAATCCAATTATGTTTGATGACTTCTGACATATGCCAGGCCCTGTGACAGATGCTGGGCTTTTGGGTGGAAACATAACTAATAAATAGTCTCTATCTATAAGAGGCTTATAGTTTAGAAGGAAATTAGAAATCATACAAATGTCTGGGATTTCCTGTATTGTGATGAGTTGGAAATGCAGATATTTTGGGATGGGGCCTTATAAGCACCCCTCATATCATACAGGTGACCCCAAAGTCTGCTGCTTGGCTCTTATCTTCTCCTGACCTAGGGCCAGTGTAAGCTGACCCATCTTCTTAATATCATCAGCCCAGCTGCGTGGTTATAAATTTCTCAAAATTAAGTGACTTATCCTGACAAAGAAGATATCTTGTCCCTCTTTTATTGCAATTTACTAAAAACAAGTAGCTTGACAAATCTCAGTGTTGTAACATATCTCATGAACACAGAACAAAACAACGGAGAGCTGGTTTGGCTTCCTTGGCTGATGATTTGTGTTGCATCGCCAAGATAAGATAATCACAGCTCTCTACGTTGAGTGGAGTTCACATTTTCTCCTCAACTCTCCAGAATAAAGGAAGTCCTCGGGCTAGTCTGGGATGACAGGGAGCCAATGGCCAATCACTCAACTTCCATTTCTCCCTCTTTATCTAGTTTTTTTCCAGATCTGTGGTCCTGAATAATGCAGCTTGAATGGGTTGTTAAGAGGACTTTCTAGTTCCTGCTTTGCCTGGTACTGAATTATTTACCATGGAAAAGATAACATAAGTGGGTTTCATTTCTCAATAATATTTGAGTAAGCTAAGATTTGACCAACCATTCCATAGATAAGAACTATAAACCCTGGGAAAGAAACCAAAACCAAACCCCAAAACCTTCCTCTGGGCACTATTGAGCAACCAAAAGATGGTGAATACTGGAAGGGACCAGCCATTTGAAAAACGAGAGCAACTGAATGGCACAGGTGGGATTCCCATTTTTTGGCTTTGGCGTCCGTGCAGGAGCCCGTCATAAGGGGCAGCTAAAATTCCAGTAGCAAAGTCACAATTTTTTGGTCTTGAAAAACTAGAGGGCTGAGCTTAGGGCAATCACAGCCACTGGAGAGGGGATGAGGTGACATCGCAGAGAGGAAAGGGTTAGATAGTGAGAACCCCAGGATCTGTGTGTTTACTCTGCCCAAATGTTTGGCTGACCTCTGAACCACGAATGCCCCTGTGAATGCGGAGGCGGTGAACTGAAATTGAGCTGCTGCCTACTTCATGGGAGGCAGAGTTTAGAGTCCGAGCTGGCCACTTTATTTGGGTGATAGAACAAACAATAAATAAAACAATGATTACTTTTCAAAAGAATAAAACAGAATCTGGTCTGCACAGCATAGCATCTGTAATGATCAGGCTACAATACATCACTCTGCATGTGGAGAAATAGGAGAACATGGTCCACCCTCAAAAGGAAAAAACCCCATCAGGAAACTGACCCTGAGATGACCCAGATGTTGGAATTCATGAAATAAGCATGGAAATGCAACTCTCTTCACTGTGCTCAAGGGACTAAAGGACTAAAGGAAAATATATCCCTAATGAATGGAAAGATGGATCTCGGAAGAGAAAGACACTATATGAAAGGCCCAAAAGGAAGTGGAAACAAATAACAATAAGATATCTGGGAAAGCCAAAATAATTTGGAAGTAAAACGACATATTTCTAAAGAATCTGAGTCAAAGGAAAAAAAATCAAAGGCAAATTGTAAAATATTTGGAACCAAATAATAACGAAAATAACACATATCAAAATTCATGGCACACAACCAAAGCATACTCAGAAATGTATACCTTTAAATGCTTATATTGGAAAAAAGAAAGGTCTAAAATTAGTGATCTAAAATCAATGACTCAGAAGCTAGGGGAACAAAAGAGCAAATTAAACCCAAAGGAATTAGAAGGAAGGAAATACAGATAAAAGAAGAAATAAAAAATAGGGAATACAAAGAGAGGAAATGTACATAACCAAAACCAGTTGTTGGAAAAAGTTTTTAAAAACGTAATAGAACTCTAGTTAGATTGAGAACATAAAGAGAGAGGACACAAATTCTGGGTAGCAGGTATGGAAGAATGGGCATTGCTACAGATCTTGTAGATTTAAGTGACTAACAAAGAAATATTATGATCAATTTTACATTAGATACAGCAACTTAAATAAAATGGACACATTTCTTTGAAAATTCAACCTACCAAAGCTGACAAGAGGTGATACAGCAAATCTGTGAAGTCCTACCTTTATTAGAGAAATTTAATTAACTATAAAAAAAACTTTCTCACAAAGAAAACTCCGGAACTAGATGATTTTTTTCTCATGCATTCTGTCAAACTTCTAAGGAAGAAATAATACCAATCTTTTTCAAACAATCTGAGGTACAGTACAGAACACTTCTCAAATCATTTCAGGAGGCCAGCATCATCCTGATACCAAAACCAGACAAAAACATCACAATAAAGGAAACTACAGAAACCAGTATCACTCATCAATATAGACACAAAAATTCCTTAAACAAGTGTTAGCGTGTCAAATCCAGCAATATACTTTAAAAGGATTATA